AAAATTATTTACTAAATTTATAATAATTAAATAATAAATTTAAAATATAAATATTATCAATTTAATTTATTTTTAAGTAAAAAAATAATTTTATTATAAAAATTATTAAAAATAATCATTATTAAACCTAAAAATTATACTATTGTATTTTTTTTATTAAAATATAATACTAAAAAATAATATAAAATCATAACACTAAAAAAAATCATCACCAATATATATATTAATGTTTTATATAATTTCTAATAAAAATATTTTAGTTTTTTTGTCAAAACACCAGAAACCGCTACCAAAACGCAAGTTGAAAGCTGCGATTAGAAAATACAAGTTTGGTTGCGGTTGCGGTTCAACCAATCAGCTTTTCAATCGCCTGTAATCATCGAAAATCACAACCGCTCCATTTACAGGTGGCGACGGTGCAACAAATCGCCCCCTAAATCTCAATATTACTAGACAATGTATTCTATAAGTACATCGTTATTTAATAAAAAAATAAATAAATACGATACCACAAAAAATAAAAATAAAAAACAAATAATTTAGTTAGCCCAATTAGATCATCAAGCCCAGCCCATTACATTGGAATAACAGAAACGACGTGCACGTATCTCCCGCCGCCATATTTTCTCACTACTTTTTTTTTTTCGTTCTTACTGCACAAACCTACTCTCTCACTCTCCGTCAAATTCCCAAGATCGATCGCGAATTCGCGCACGGAAAAAGAAAAAATCCATCGAAATGAACGCGAAATCGCCGGAGGATATTCTGGATCTGCCGCTGAGCGAGTTTGGATTCGTGTTCGAGGAGGCCTCCGCCGCGAGAGTCGCCGGACGGACATTACATTGGAATAACAGAAACGACGTGCACGTATCTCCCGCCGCCATATTTTCTCACTACTTTTTTTTTTTCGTTCTTACTGCACAAACCTACTCTCTCACTCTCCGTCAAATTCCCAAGATCGATCGCGAATTCGCGCACGGAAAAAGAAAAAATCCATCGAAATGAACGCGAAATCGCCGGAGGATATTCTGGATCTGCCGCTGAGCGAGTTTGGATTCGTGTTCGAGGAGGCCTCCGCCGCGAGAGTCGCCGGACGGATGGCCGTTACGGAGAAGTGCTGTCAGGCGTTTAAGGTGTTGCACGGCGGAGTATCGGCTTGCATCGCCGAGGGGATCGCCAGCTACGGCGCCGTCGTGGCCTCCGGCTACAATCGCGTCGCCGGAATCCATCTATCCATCCACCATCTCCGCCCCGCCAATCTCGGCGACTCGATCTTCGCCGAGGCTTTTCCGGTCTCCTCCGGCAAAAATATCCAGGTCCGTCGTATGTGTGTATTTACATACGTATACTCATCGTATATATAAATAAATCGGATTAACACTTTTCGAAAAATCGATGTAAGTTATATATATATATAAAATTCTGCAAACCGATATAAAGCAAGGTAAAAATATATAACATATACTATGAATTAGAAAATCAAATCATAACATATTAACATAAGAGTTCCATATTAATTTCTGAAATGAAAGATGGTTTGTCCATTGATATGACATTTGTTTTAGTAGTTAGGTAAAAAAAGTATCATTAAGTCACGTAGTAAAATGGATAAACTATCTGTCAATTATTTTTATAATTACATTATTGTCAATAATATAATCATATAAATCTTAAACTGATATGCATTATTATTATTATTATAATTACAGTCTTGGTGATTTTAAAAAATAGTTCAATAATAATAATAATAATAATAATAATTTTTTGACAAAATATTGCTGCAGAACTTTTCAAAACAACAGTTATTTGTGAAATCAGCTTTGGCTCTTTTATCAATTTCGTCAACTTTCGGGACCTTGACTATATTATTAGCACATATACTTTGACTTATGTAACAAAACATTTTCCATGTTTATAGTTTTCTTTTTCTTTCGTCATATTAAATGAGTTTGTTACAAAATTTCCTAAGAATCTTAACTCGTTACTTTATACCAAATTATAAATTTAAAATTTTTTATAATATATAAATTATGTTAATTTTTCATCTAACTTTATTTATGATAATTATGGAAATTGATCTGTTACTTTTTTTAATTTTAAATCGAATATACTTCAAAGAAAATATGATATGATTTATATGTGATTTTTATTTTTTAATTTATTTTAATAAAAACAAAAAAGAAAATATATATGTGCTTATTTAAAATTTGTGTGCGCCTGTATTTATGTATGAACTTGTATATGTTTTTATTAAAAAAAGAAGTAAAAGAGACAAAATATATATATAATTGCTGACATGTCAGGGGTGTATGATCCAAATGCGGTTATATCGTATTTTAATAATAGAATACAAATTTCATTAATATAGTTAATGATTATTTATCATTCCATATTAAAATATTATAGTTTACATGATATTATAAAAAATAAAGTTTATATTTCAATACGATATAAAATAATTACACAACAGTTATTATGAAATTCTCTTATCTTAAAAAATATATTATCATTATCAACGGAAAAACCTCGACGCGTAGTATGTGTTCTACGAATCTTCAACGGTACATATAATTTGCATTATAGAGTTTGTATTTTTTTTTATTGCACTAACCATAATAGGGGCATTGATAATGAAAAGATGATCCTTTTATTTTTTTAAATATTGGTAAATGAGCAGGTGTGGGAGGTCCGGTTATGGAAAACCGGGAAAACCGGTGAACCGGATAAGAAGAAAATGGTATCGACAGCCCGGGTTACGCTCTTCTGCGGATTGCCCTTACCGGATCATGTCAAAGATGCTCCCGACAAGATGAAGTCCTTTTTGTCGAAATTATAAAATTTTATCTCCCGTACATTTATTCTCTTTTACAAAAAAAAAATATATCGTTGAACTTTGTTTATATTTGCTTATCCTTTCCAATTTCACGCAAATAATAGAGAATATTTAAATTTTCTTGGTTTCCACGTAACTTCTCTTTATGTGAATTTGAGTTTTTGCTTAGCTAACAATAAAAATTCCACTGTCTTTCCGGGTTTTTTTTTTTTATGTTAGTATTTTATATTATTGTAATGCGGAATAAACTTCAATATATAGACATTTAACATATATTTAAAAAAATCTAAACAATTAAAACGAATCAACGTCCGTAAAAATATTGATAAACTATAGAACACAGACAAGGTATCGTCTTTTACCAAAAAGGAGATTGCAATATCTGATTTAAGAATTTTAATATATCCAATTTTTTTTTAAAAAAAACAAGGTTTTATTTATTTTTAAATAAAAATTAACACAAGGATATACACGTTGACAAAAACATCAATTTGTTATTAGATTATATTATAAAACTGGCAAAAAAATATAATACATTATCAATTTAAATTATTTAATCAGCTAAAAGCAAGAGAACAAAGGATCAATAGAAGGGAAGTTTACATTTCCTTACAGTCCGATGCCGACCAAAGCTAGTGAGAGGGCAATGTGGCGGGAGTCGAAGGTGATCCTCTTTGTAATCTACAGAGACAAGGGAAAGGCCATGGGGAGGGGAAGGCAGTGTATACTTCGCAAGCTCCCTCCTGTTTCTGGTTTCCATTATCACTGGTACAATATCGGTTGGTATCGCTTCTTTCCCAATCTGAATCAACAATGCCACCTGCACATATAATGTTACAAGAGTTCTTGAATATGTACACATATATATGTATATATAAACTCCATGTCTGCAGGCTTTGGGTTACCAGAATGAGAAGATTTCAGACAAGGCGGAGAAACTAACCATGTTTCTGACTTGCCTGTACAAAAAGCCCGAACCTTCTACTTCTAGCTGTAGGAGAGGTCCCTTACCATCCAAAAAACACGAGGAATTGCTTCAAAAACTTGACCCTTTTCACCGGATTTTCAGATCAACCGACCAAAAAAAAAATACGGAATCCTAAACGGGATTTTGAGGATTACCTTTTCAACAACGTCAAAACGAGATATAGTTTTCACAGGATCAGGCACTCCGTCTTCCCGGGTAGCGTTAGCAAAAGCGGAGAAATCATGCCTTCCGACAAGATGCATTGCAGCTTCTCTCATCAGAGAGGCATTCAGCTTGTAAGCACAGTGGAAAGCATAACAACGCTGAAACGGGTCCATAAACGTATCGTTGTAAATCTGGTAACGGTAGACCTTGCCTTTGCAAGAAAACCTGGCATGGAACTCGGGAACCGCAGCACTAATCTCTTTGACGCGGATATCTTGAGGAAGAAGACCGTTCAATGCAGCATGAATGCTTTCCAAGCTGCTGTAATTGAAAGGCGTGACGAAATGCGCTACCTGAAGACAAAAGCTTATTCAAGAATGGTGGAACAAGTTGATTCGGGATTTGATGGTTTCATGCAAGCAAAGAAGAGAGATTTAAGATTTAACTCGAACCTGACCACAAGCATGAACTCCGGCATCGGTCCTGCCTGCTCCGACTATAAGCAGCTCTTTTCTTTCGAGCTTCGTTATTTGAGTTAAGGCTTTTTCCAACATCGATTGGATCGTCGGTGGTGATTCCTGATACTGCCAACCTGATACCGAATTCATCGACGTAACGAAACAAGATTCTGAGAGCAAAGATACAGCTACACATCCAAATAAAAGAGAAAAAAAGGCTTCAATTCTGTCCAAGATGATGTCTTTATAGCATATTCAGCATACAAGATAACTAATGTGTTGTTGTTTACTCATCGTGAACTGATGGAACTGATCTACGCCGAGAAAACAGAAAGATCTCAGACAAAAGATGCAAGCTTTATGATGGCTAGTTGCAAACCCAAGAAAGCTCTCTCTCTCTCTCTCTCTCTCTCTCTCTCTCTCTCTCTCTCTCTCTCTCTGTGACATTTGTGAACGATTGCAAACTTCATCGCCACCAAAAGCTCGTGGAAATTTCGACACAACAAAACCAAGTCTGAACCTCACAAGTGGAGAGACCAAATTCCCAATCCTCCTTGTGTTTCAGGTTTCAGGGTAAGTCTGTATTCGATCATTCACACAAACTACTCCCAAATCTCAGAAGATATATAGAGTTCATAATAAATCATCACTCACATAAATCATAAAAACAGAAACGGATGAAAAAGAATTCAAGCAAAGTTCATACTCCTAGTAAAAGAAACCTGCATATCGGGTTCCATCATAAGCAATCACCAGACGCCATTTATAGCCACCAAGAGATCCTACTCCATCACTAATCTTTACCAGATTGCTCAAGTCGTTCTTCATCTGCAATTCCATCCAGAAAATTAAAGAAAAGAATCAACAAAACCCTCATTCCCAAATCGGCAGGGGACAAGAAATCCAGAGAAAACTACGAGCAAAAGTGAAAAAAAAGTTTTCTTTTCACACTTACAGAGTTGTTCTGAGGAGAAGAGACGGACCCATTCTGAAACAGAGGAGGAGGAAGCGTTGCAACTGCGCAACTCATCTCCTTCGTCGTCTTTCTTTCTCCGACGACGGACTGCAAAATCTATAAAGCCCAGGCCGAAGCTCTCAATCCGTACCAATATTTTCTACTATCTATGAATATAAAAGATCCGACGGCTACGATACGCAGAGACGCACAGTAAGAAACTAGACGCGAAGCACAGTATCATGAGTTATAAGATTAGATAATAAAACGCTGCGTTTTAAACGTCACCCTTTTGCATTAGGAGCGAATGCGTCTCTTGGCACTTGCCTCAACTCTCTCGCTGGACCTTCTGGGTTTTCAGAAGAAAAAGGCTCGAAATTTGGAAATTTGGAAATTTGTCTGAAACGATACCCTTTGTTCTTGATCTCTCTGCCCCACGCTGGCTTAATAGACGGTATTTCCTTTCATAGATTAAACTGCGATGCTGTTGTCTGATTCTGTTCATGTATTAGGGTTTTTTTCGAATCTTCGCAGTCCTTGCAGAATCCGGAAACCAGCGGATTCCTTTTTTTTTCCGTCTGTTTTAGGATGGTTTTGGTTAGATTGTTCAATCGCGAATCCTGTTTCGATATTAGGGTTCTGTAAGTTCGGAAGCTTAGACTTGCTTTGCGCTATCCGTTGGCTGATGATTGAATTCCAATTTGAAAAATATAGACTTTTGGAGAATTTTTAAGTTACCCAGATGGTGTTTTCGCTCTCGTAATACTGGATTCCCTTTGGAATTTTTTAGGGTTAGGTCATGGCCACCAAGAAAGTCATAGCGATATGTCAGTCAGGGGGAGAGTTTGTGACCAACAAAGATGGATCGTTATCCTATTCCGGAGGCGATGCTTACGCGATAGACGTCGATCAGAATACTTCGATGACCGATTTCAAGTCAGAGTTGGCCGAAAATTTCGGGTTCAGTTGGGAGAGTATGACCCTCAAGTACTTTCTTCCCGGAAACAAGAAGACCCTCATCACCATTTCTAAGGACAAGGATTTCAAACGCATGGTCAATTTTTCCGCTGATGCGGGGAGCGTTGAGATCTTCGTCCTACCCGAGGAAGCTGCCGCTAGGAATGTGTCGAACATGCCAGCCAGTAGGTAGATATTTCTTTCGTTTTTGTTTCTGATCGAACTGCTTGTTCTTCAAGTTTGGTTTGCCCACAAATTTTTTCTGCATTCTCTCGCCCTTGATGCCCTTTTTCTTTTACCTTGATTGTTTCTTGCTCACAATGTTGGTTTTCAGTAGAAAACTACAGGTTGGTGCTCAAGTTCTGACCTTTATCCATGAATCTTTAGATTAAGTATGAAAATTTCAGTTAGGATTTTGAAAGTTATAACCTGTTTGGAGAATTTATGATCTGTGTGGGGAGTGAAGGTTTTGTTATATAGCTCATAGTGACTGATGTGTGAATTCGTTTTTCCAGGTCAAGCAGGACAACGGCCTCTGAAGCTGTGTTACCTCTGGTTGTTTCAGGTGATGTCGTAGGGGATGAGGATTTGACAAATGATTTCCAAATCGACATGGCAATGCCCGACGAAAGCCCTTTGCCGTGCAATTTTGTCTTGACTGACGAAAAACATCACAAAGCGGCACAGCAGTGGGAAAACGCCATCACGGGTGTCGATCAAAGGTTCAACAGCTTCAGCGAATTCCGAGATTCATTGCACAAGTATTCAATCGCCCACGGGTTTACTTACAAGTACAAGAAGAATGATAGCCATCGGGTTTCCGTGAAATGCAAAGCTCAAGGCTGTCCATGGCGGATTACTGCATCAAGGCTGTCGACCACACAGTTGATATGCATCAAGAAAATGAACCCGAGGCATACGTGTGAGCGAGCAGTTGTGAAAGCCGGTTATCGGGCAACGAGGGGTTGGGTCGGAAGCATCATAAAAGAGAAGTTAAAGGCCTTTCCGGACTACAAGCCGAAGGATATCGCTGAGGACATAAAGAGAGAGTATGGTATTCAATTGAATTACTCGCAAGCATGGCGAGCGAAAGAGATTGCCAGAGAACAGCTCCAGGGATCTTACAAAGAGGCATATAGTCAGCTACCCTTTTTCTGTGAGAAGATCAAGGAGACGAATCCGGGGAGTATTGCCCATTTCACGACGAAAGAAGATTCTAGCTTCCACCGTCTTTTCATCTCGTTCTACGCTTCGATATCTGGGTTTAGACAAGGTTGCCGTCCTCTCCTTTTCCTCGACAGTGCTGTCTTAAACTCCAAGTACCAAGGGGTTTTTCTCGTTGCCACGGCTGCTGATGCCGAAGATGGGATATTTCCGGTAGCTTTTGCCGTTGTGGATTCCGAGACTGAGGGAAACTGGTTTTGGTTCTTGGAAGAACTTAAATCCACGTTATCTGAATCCCGTAGCATCACATTTGTAGCAGATTTCCAAAATGGTCTGAACACCGCTTTACCTCAGGTCTTTGGGAATGGACACCATGCCTACTGTCTACGCCACCTTGCCGAGAAACTAAACACGGATCTGAAGGGGCAATTTTCTCACGAAGCAAGGCGGTTTATGATTAACGATTTCTACGCCGCTGCTTATGCCCCGAGGCTCGAGAGCTATTACCGTTCTCTCGAGAATATAAAGAGTATATCCCCCGATGCTTACGCTTGGGTTGCGGAAAGCGAGCCACACCACTGGGCCAATGCCTTGTTCTTGGGAGAGAGGTATAACCAGATGAACTCAACCTTCGGGCTAGATTTCTACAGCTGGGTATCCGAAGCACATGAGCTACCGATAACGCAGATGATCGACGAACTCCGAGCAAAGATGATGCAGTCGATTTACACCCGTCAGGTACAATCCCGGGAATGGGTCACGGCCCTTACACCATCAAACGAGGAGAAACTACGGAAGGAGATAGAACTGGCCCGGTCACTTCAGGTGTCGCCACCGCACGGTAGGTTGTTTGAGGTCCAGGGAGGAGAATCCATCAACATAGTCGATATAGATCAGTGCGATTGCGACTGCAAGGCCTGGAGGCTATCGGGCTTACCATGCAGCCACGCGATTGCAGTCATCGAGTGGATCGGGAAAAGCCCTTACGAGTACTGTTCAAGATACTTCACGGCCGATAGTTATCGGTTAACGTATGCAGAGTCGATTAACCCGGTTCCGAACATAGACAGGATGATGATGGATGAGCCGCTGGCTGAAGGGGCGGTTTCCGTGACTCCGCCCCCCACGAGGAGGACGCCGGGAAGGCCGAAGACAAAGCAGGTGGAGCCGTTGGATATGATCAAACGTCAGCTCCAATGTAGCAAGTGTAAGGGGTTAGGTCACAACAAAAAGACTTGCAAAACTGTTCCCTAGTGATTGGAGTTCTTGAGGAAGAAAAATATAAGGTATTAGGACATTTGTACTTTAGTTCTAGTTTTAGTTTTTTCTTTTATTGACCGGCCGTTGGTTTTGTCTTCTCGTCGGATAAATTATGGATTCAAGGTTTTTTGGTTGGGTGAGTGAGTGAAGGGTAGAGGTGAGCGCACACTTAACACTTGCTTTGTATCAAATTATGAAATGGAATCTGTTTCTTAATTACTATTATTCTTTTTAGAGTTGGCAAAAAAAAAATCCGAAGTTCGGGTACCCGTTTTGATATTCGTCATCGGAATTCGGAAGTTAGGATTAGGGTTTGATCGCTTCGGACATATCATCTTGCCCTCCTCTGCTCCTCCTCGGGTAAATCTTTTAACCCCTATCTTTCCTTGTCTCGCCCTCGGCTCGACCTCCGTCTCGCACCTTTCGCGAGATTCCCGATCTCACATTTGACGACTCGACCTTTCATCTTTGTCGGTCAGATGATCCGTGGATACCGGGTATTCGAAACGTCTCGCAGATACCCTAATGGTTTGGATTCGGTGACGAATTTGGAACTCTAAAGATTCGGGTATCGATCGAAATCCCAGACCAACCGTCTTCAACTTATTTCGATCATACACCCCTATAGAATCTTCGATTTCTATTTCGGGAGCTGACTTTTCAGATTGGAATCGAAATGGGGCGATTGGAATGGAACAGAGGCAGAAGGAAATCATTTTAAACACAGCACCAAATTTACATAATCCTCAACCATTTTGTAAACTTTCAAAGAAACAGTCTGACACTACTGCTCTACATCTTTATCTGTGTGAAGACCAAATAATCAATGGTGATGATGATGATGATGTTAATAAGGCTAAAACCAAACCCTAAAACGGGGGAAAAAAACCCCCCACAAAAAAAGGTATAAAATAAGCAGATTTTCAATGAGAAGAGAGTGATTCCAACCAGTCTGAAGTGAATTCATAGGCGACAAAGGTAACGGCACCAGCAGGAGCAGCTTTAACAGTGGAAGGGACAATGCCTTTGTAGAGACCGTTCCAGCCTTCCGACAGCAGAATCTGTCGAAGCCCGTCAAACATGTTCCTGTACGCACGCTTCTCTACCCGTGCTCCGTATCTCGGGTGTCTCTGTAACCCTTCAATCTTAACCAAACACGGGAAAAAAGAACACACGGGAAAATGGATATATCACGATTTGCTCCACTCGGGCGATTCAAATCCGTTCATAAAACATAAAAACATTAACGATGATCACACTTCTATGATCTATCGGGCGTAAAGTTAGAGCATTTGGTGTGTGCACGACAGCAACAATTAGCACTACCCAAAGGCTTTTTGATCATTTCAGGCAAATCAGCATTACTTGGACGAATTCGAGGTTTCTTGATTTTTTTTTTTGTCGCGTAGGGAGGAAATGGTAATTGAAAAAAAAACAGATAATATATCTGAAACCAGAATATAAATCAGCTAAAAAGGTGTTCAAGCTGAGCAATATCGAATCTGCATTCCGAATTCGCGAGGTAATATCACTAACCTGAAACCTTTTCTTGACAACATCAAGAGGATGACACACAAGTTTTGCGCTAGTCCCGGCCCCCAATCCACAAAGGAAAAGCTGAAAGCTAGAAAGGTTGATATCTGCATTGGCCGAGCGATTGGGGGATAAAACTATTCGGTTCCACTCCTGGTGAAAGAACACATGATCTTAATGAATGTCAAGGAAAGTAAGTCACAGTATAGACGAGAAGATTGGCACACAAAAAAAGGATATGCTTTTTTTTGTGCTCTTACCATCATCCAACGCTTAAACATATCATAGCTGCCAAACTGAAGTCCGGCATAGGGCACAATCTCGACAAGTGTCGGTGATAATCCAGTGTACAATCCCTTTATTCCCCGCATTTGAGCTATATCGACGAATGCAGACCTCATGGTAGGGTATATCTACACACAGCTTTCAATCAGTCATCACCTTATAAAGAAGAAAACTCTTTTTTTCCTAAGAAATTTAGAAGTATAAGGGAAACTAAAAGGTTCCCAGTTATCAAAAACTCATGATAAGATCAATATTACAGTCAGTCATTAATTCATGACTTGACAGCTGGCCTGTAAGCAGAGACTGAAATATTTTCTAGAAGTAGATTTACGATTCAGAAACTGACCTTAGGTTCCCCTTGTGAAGCCAATATTGTCCTCAAAAGATCAAATGGGTATGATCCAAGTGTAGCTGCACATCCTGCTAAAGCCCCACTGATGAAGGACAGGTAAGGGCTCAAATGAATATGATCCTCTGCATTGCAAGAGAATAAATAAGGATCATAACCATGTTAAACACGGAACAACACGTTTCTCGAAAATTACTATGGAGGTTTGCCACCATATCTATCAAAAGAAACACATTGATCAACAAATGCAACGCAGACAGAACCATTGATTCTACATGAGATCTCACTTTCAAATGACATAAACTAAGAAGTCCATCATTATGCTGTATACAATATCAAACTCACAATGCTTCTACAAAGCTTCAAGAGACAGACAGGTTCATTTCTAATTCCTATTCTAGCAATGCAACTTACGAGGACAGACATGCTTAATCTACTGTGCTGTCATATCCAAGCTTACCCAGTTACCTGTTTTAGAAGAACCAGCTGCAATTGATTTCAATTTATGTAGTACTGTAAACTGAATTGAAGTATAAGGCACAACCATGAGCAAAGCCGGTACATTGCCACGCCAGAAACCCTGATTAAAACGGGAAAAGAAACACGGATCAAGCACAAATAAAGGAGACTAAACCTCAGCAAGTTTGATCTGAGAGAACAAATCAGGGAAAGATTCTCATCAATCAACTAGAAAATCACAGATTATTGGACAGATCTTTCTCATCGTAAACAAAGGAATGATTGAGAATTTGAGAGTGGAAGCTTTCTAGAGACAGACCCGCAAGCCTTCCTCTCTGAATATGTCTCTTGATGCCTGTAGCACACCAGTGTACTTAGATGCTACAGACAAATTTCCCCGAACCAAAGCCCATGATGTTGTCGGTTCTAGTTGAACCTGCAATTCACACAAACGGAGCCAAAAACTTTCTTCAGAACATCTAATAACATGAAAGATAACTCCATACAAACTAAGCTGTAAGATCTAAACCAGATTAGCCCAGGATTCAAAACCTTCAAACCCTAAATCTAACAAAATACAATCCTCCAGATTACAATGAGAACCCAAGATGCAAAATCCAACGCGTTGAATCCAGCAAGTATAATATCTTCTGAGCAAACTATCAGGATATAACATCGCGAATTCAACTAGTAAAGAATCGGAAGAAGAACGCCAAATTGAAAACACCTGAAATCTGATCTTAATGACATCGAGCGGAGAAGTTACAGTGCGAGAAATAGCGCCAGAAATCGCACCGGCCGAAGCGTCGATAAGGGCTCGTTTAATCTGCCCTGGATCTTCCGACATCGCCGTGGGACTCATCTTCTAGGGTTTTTGCTTTATAACCTAAACCAACAAAATCCCAGCAAAATCAAGGACTCGGTCAACGATAATTCCCAAAACCCATCGTGTATAAACGAATCAAAAAATGGAAAAAAAGGGCAAATTTACGGCAAATAGAGCTTATATAAGGAAACATATACAAGAGGAACACACCAACGTAAATGCTGAAACGTAAGGTAAACAAAAGGGTATCCCAAAAATCATGTTTTTAGAAGGAAAAAAATCCACCGACTACCTAAAAACGCCCGACATGAGAAGAGCCGCCATTGATGATCTTCCGAACAGAGAGGGTGAGAGAGAGAGAACACGAGAAAAGTACGCGTTTACCGCGATTATGAGATTTGGGTGAGAGAGAAGACAACTTTTTGACTCGCAAAATAAAAAACGCGAGAGAGAATCTCGTCAACGTTCGTGTTCTTACTGTACATTGGATAATTCCATCTCGCTTCAGAGTCCACCAACCTACTTTTTTTTCTTGGACGAAATTACCCCCTGTAGTATCGTCTCTCGGTAAATATCTAATTTGATATAAAATTAAAAATTTATAAATAATTATGCGTATAAGGTGTGGACCTTTGATCAATAACAAGGAAATAAGATACATAGTTTTGGATTTGCATATATCTAAAATTTAATTTAATGGTCCTGAATCACCTTAATCAGTATTTGGTTTATGAGTTATCACATTGTATCATTTAGCACATTTCACATGTTTGTATTATATTCTGGGCATATATATATATATATATATTTATATTGTAAAATAATATGCCATAAAACTTTTGGGTATAAAAAGTTATGGAAATCTTAAAAAGAAAATAATGTTGTAATGTTGTGAAAAAGTGTTACGGAAAATTTAGTATGTAACATATAAAAATACAGAAAGAAATATGGAAGATTTATAATTAAAGAAAAAGAAGCTAAAATGTTAAAACACAATGAACACTAAATTTGATTTTTTTTAATAAATAAAAAGGGAAAAAAGGCCAATGTAACAATGTAACAAAGAAAGAAAAAAAAGTTATAAGAATAATATAGAAAATAGTGAATTTTAGTCTTACAGAAAACATTGTAATTTAATTTAAAAATTTTTAAAAGTACACACATAAAGTTGTTGATTTTCATAATATTACCTGTAATTGTAAATGTCAATGCCGATCTTTTTTTATTATATGGTGAGCAAGTATGTGTAATTACGGTCCATAAAAGCAATTGATTATATCTAATTCAAATTTTATAATAAAAAAAACTTGGATGACCATTGAATTGTTATGTAGGTTGGTTTTGTTAGGGGCCATGTTGACCTTTTGGCCTTTCAAACTAACCAAAGGCACATAAAAATTTCGTACGCCGACTTTTTATAAAGTTCAAATTGCAAGAGAGCTCACTCCACTATCCAACTTGGATTATTTTACATACCTCCTCCCACTAATATATTCTCAAATTTTCAAAATTTATATATTATTTTTTTATTAACTCAAAAATTCATATTTTTTAAAAATCGGAAAATCATATATATTACAATACATATTCTCTCCAACAATCATTCGGGATACACTTCATAAAATCTCATGTATGCGATCATCATAATAGGGTATGAAATTGAACCGCCTTCGGAAATAAATGGACTTTATTTAATGTTTATTATTTGTTTTTGGTTAATATTTTTCACTAAAAACAAAAACATTATAATCAAAGGTTTTGGGTCGGTGGTCTGGTGGGCCGACTAAAAGCCCAAAACTGTCCAAAACCCATAACCAAGTGGCGGACACTGAATCTACCGAATTCCACGAGCAAGCTTTTGACCAATCATAAACTTCCACGTGTCCACTTAAACCCAAACTTGACAACTAGCCAAAAGGAGGTGAAAGAAGACAAAAGCAGACACGATATTCCTAATAAATTACGAAAACGCCACCATTCATTCCCTCAGTTCTCTCCTCGCTTTCGCTCGTCTCTCTCTCTCTTCCTCAAATTTTCTCGGAGCTCCCCGCTGAAAAACCCTAAATCCTTGCTTCGTCTATACATACATATACCGTATCTGTACATTCTCTGCCTCGGTTCTGCTCAATAATGGAGGCTTCCGAGACGAAGAAGCTGTCACAGAAAGAGTTCGCTCTCGCTTCAGTCACTGACCTCTCCTCTCCTTCCGTTTCTCCGTTGTCCTCGCCTGTTGTAGCTAGTTTTTCCTGCGTCCATGGAGTTACGGAGATCCGATTTCACGAATCCGAGGCGGCAGATGGTTTCAGTTTCGATCTTTTTTCGGCTCAGGTTGCTGTTGATTCGCATGCTTTTCTGGTTTCTCTGGTTCTCGGTTCTGTTTTAGTGTTTGATCACGTTGGAAATGTATCTTTTCTATATACGATGGTGTAGAAACCCATTCGAGGGGTTCCGGGAAAAAATCTGAGATATTCTTGATAACTTGGTTCGAAATTTTTTCCCATTGTTAGTTTGTAATTAGTTCGCGTTGTTCGACCGTTAAGATTGAAGATTTTAATCCTATTACCTTTGTGTTTATGAATGTATGTATAGCTTAAACTGGTTGAATTGCGCTACTTTCCTCTTGCTTCCGTGTAAGCGAGAGCTGATGTAGTTGCATTTCATGTGAAATTTCTCTTGCGGTGAAATTTTTTTTTTTTTTTGTTGATGTTGCTCAGTTATTCAAGTTGGGGCGCATGGAGTTGATCTGCATTTCGGATGGTTCGGGTTCCTCAAAGGAGGTAAGGAAAACTATCAACTTTCTTTCAGGATTAGAATATGTTCACGTACCACGTTCGCCTTGTAGAATATTTCAAATGAGATTCACTTGTTTCCCTTGTTTATCGGCTCTTATGAATCCAATTTCAATAGCTGTTTCTAGGAGTTGAAACATTTCCTCATGGAACCTTGAATATCTCCTGAGCGCATTATCAGTAACGTGTTTCTAGATATTTTGTATATCTTCTTGATGAAATGATTTTTCGGAACCAGAATTCGTTCTCTCGAGGAGTCATTATCAAATTTAGAAATGAGAAGGAAAGCAAGGATTTTTTTGATGCGTTTGAGGAGTGGAGGAAGGATGCTGTTGTTCAAGGTGCTCCATTGTTCATGTTTATGATTGTTCTGTTGAAACTTATTTGTTCTGGTTTTGATGGTTCTTTGTTAAGTATTTTTAGTAGTAGTATTGCCTTTGGGAAGCTTATGGTTTTATCGATTAGTGATTTTAGCTGCTGTTTGATTTTTAACATGATACATCATGTTTGGACTCGTTTTCATTTATAAGGAGCGTATGTTTGTATGCTTGAAAATTTTGAGATGTAATAAGTTTATTACATGGATGATTTGGGGTTGTTCTCGTCTTTTCTGAAGAACTTATGCATGTATATGGCCACGTTTATATCCAAGACTGCTCCTCTGTGCTATACATCTGCTCTTAGAACATCTTTTACGCCTTCTAATTCTTCTCTTTCTAGGATTATCCTTGCCAAATGGAACGGTTTTAGCTAATAAAAGCAAGTTTGACGATAAGATAGAGGCTTCTTCTGCCAAGATGTATTTCCATTATTACGGACAACTTCTACATCAGCAAAATATGTTGCAAGACTATGTGAGGACAGGTATGATGTCCAAATTTGATATGTTGGTTTCCTCAATTTTGTTCAATCTCTTGCTGTCTGTCGATTTCAAAGGCTGTACATCCGACAGAGAACGCGTGCATCTAGTTAACTTCACTGAGCTGCTTAACATGGGATGGCTATTTATGTTTCATTTTCTCCCCTTTCAGGTACATATTATGCTGCAGTCATGGAGAATCGTTCAGATTTTAGTGGTCGTGTTGTGGTTGATGTGGGTGCTGGGAGTGGAATTTTGTCAATGTTTGCTGCACAGGTATGCAATTCAGGCCAAAGAATGTAAAACTACAGTATTCCTGCAAAGCCTCTGCATTTTGCTTCTGTTTTAATTTTATTGATGGATGCACATTCTTTTCCCCATTAAATTAGGCTGGTGCCAAGCATGTATATGCTGTGGAAGCATCAGAAATGGCTGAGTATGCCCGTAAGCTGATTGCTGGGAACCCATTATTGGCCAAGCGGATAACAGTGAGGCCTATATTCCGTGTTACTCATGAATATATTTTTCATACGTTGTATCATTGTCTGATGTTGTTGAGGTTGGCACAAGTGTAGGTGATCAAGGGAAAAGTCGAGGATGTTGAGTTACCTGAGAAAGCAGATGTTTTGATCTCTGAACCAATGGGTATGTGTTTCTGGGTTAATTGCTATAATGTGATCTTCTTATCAAAATTGAATAATATTAGGACCTTTCAATAAGCCCTCAATTTTGGCTTATCAGCAAATTAGTGGAGTTAATGATATTTGAAAGGGTGGGTGTGATAGTCAGATCTTTTTACCTGCAGGCACCTTATTGGTCAACGAGAGAATGCTGGAATCATATGTAATTGCTAGGGATCGTTTTCTTTCTCCAAATGGAAAAATGTTTCCTACACTTGGAAGGTAAAGGCGATCCTTGAAAGGCTCATTCTTTTGATTTCTGAAAGGATCGTATTTCTCATAACATTTTATCACTACAGGATTCACATGGCACCTTTCACCGATGAATTCTTATTTACTGAAATGGCAAATAAGGTATGAGATGTCAATTGTTAAAATGGTTTGTGGAATGTATTGCATAGATTTCTCTTTGTAACGTAAAACCAAATTGTCGGATTAATATATTTCTTAGGTTTCTGATTATAAGCGTTCAATCATCAGGGTGTCCTTCTCTATGCAGGCTTTGTTCTGGCAACAGCAGAACTACTACGGAGTTGATGTGACACCTCTGTATGGATCAGCCTTCCGGGGCTATTTTTCTCAGGTATATCGGTTCACATAGCAGTAATTCGTAATTCCAGATTGCTTCACTGTCCAGAATATTTGTCTCTTGTTTCAAACTTAAAAAGAGTTTTAATGACAGTTCGTATTCCATCGATGTTACAGCCTGTGGTTGATGCATTTGATCCGAGATTGTTGGTGGCTCCTCCAATGTTTCATGTGATAGATTTCACTCAGATAAAGGTAGCAGTCTACCTTGGGAGACAACATTTATAACTTCTGATTTTCATGATTTGTACATCACTCTGGTAGATTCTTTTATGCCATCTGCATATTTAGAATTTCTAGCTGGCTGCAGAGTGTAGCGAGCGACAGGATGTGTGACAAACATTCAATCTCATCTGTTTCTGAACTTGTTTTCGCAGGAAGAAGAGTTTTATGAAATTGATATCCCATTAAAGTTCACTGCCTCCACATGTACCAGAGTGCATGGCCTTGCCTGTTGGTTTGACGTCCTCTTTAATGGGAGGTAAAAGTAAAACCACATCGCTTTTATATAAATTCCCGATTTTTCCGTGCCTTATTTTGGGTTTCTTCTAAGACGAAATCCACTTTGGTTTTGTTTCCAAACAGCACGGTTCAAAGATGGCTCACAACTGCCCCCGGGGCACCTACGACCCACTGGTACCAGATACGATGTGTTCTCTCGCAGCCTCTTCATGTGATGGCAGGACAAGAGCTGACGGGCAGGCTTCATTTGGTTGCCCACAGCGCTCAGAGCTACACCATCAATCTAACTCTATCAGGTCGATCAGGCTCTCTTTTTTCTGCCTTGCACTTACACTTGCACCCTTTTGAAGTGTATATGCTTTCTGCGGGTTTCTGATAGATAGGGGAATCGATTTTATCAGCTAAAATGTGGGGACCGGGTGCCGGCCAAGGCGGGATCCTCCAGACGTCGTCGTGCAAACTCGATCTGAAAGAACCCTATTATAGAATGTCTCAGCCACAGACATACACTGTTGCTCAAGAACCGCAACCACAACAGCAGCAGCAGCAGCTATTAAATCCACAGGTAGGATTCATCTGTTCCGTTACTTTCGTCTTACATGAGATTCCTTTCGTTCTGACCAGGCATTAGGAAACAACTCTAGTTCAACATTCTTAAAAAGTTATTGTCTGATCTGATAGTAAATCTTGCTTTCTCTCTGCTACGCTAATATCTCCTATGCATTTGATTTTATCAGTACCCGGAAAAAAAAATTAATGTGAAAGAGTAATATTGAGCAGGGCATAGAAATACAGTACGATGACTTAGAAGAAGTAGAGCTGATGCAACAGCCGCCACGCGATGCAGGTACTCAGCTCTAGAAACCAGACTTTTGTTGATTCACAGGAAGAAAAGAACATGAAAAAAAAATCGATTTGTTGCCTCGCCCCTCGGGTATTATACCTCTGTCCAGTGGTAGAAAAGCAAAAATGAGAATGGCGCTGTAGAATAGATTCTAGATAGGAACCAATGTTGTTGTTGCTTCCATTCATGTCATGTCTCTTGAGTTGTGTCCTCTCCCCACTCTGTCTCCTGGATTTTCATAGGCTCGATCCATCCGAATTTTCATTTCTGGTATGATGCTGTGGGAATGGATAAGTTTGTTTTCATCTTGAAGCTTGGAATCCAGGTTTCTTCTATATATACAGAGTGATGTATATATACGTGTGTTTGAGTGTGGTGCTTTCGGCTTGGACAGAGTCCCAGGTTTCTTGTAGCCTGGTTTTCAATTGGTTCAAACAATTTTGCCTGTCGGAACCAAATTCGGAGTCCAAACGAAGATCTCATGGCTTATTATATACGTATGATGTATCTGTTCCTTCTGATATATATATATCACAGAGAATGATGTTAAAGAAAAACTTCTTGCCTTTTCCGAAAAAGTTGTGTTTCGTTTGGTGAATCTCGGATTCGTCAAAAAAAAAAAAAAATTCTTAAGAATTTTTGCACGTATCGAATATTTTTATTAGATAAAATGTTTTGATTTATTTTTGTTTGCTGTTGGTTATAAAATTTCCGTTGATATCCTTTGTGAACAAAAACATTTTACACTTGTTATATCATGTATTGCGATTAAATTAAATTAAAATATATCCTATCTAAAAAACTAAATTTTATGAAAAAGAAAGCCAATAATAATTAAAAAAAAAAAGAGTAATTTTAGTTTCTAGTTAAATCGTTTGTCAACTTTTTCTGAATTTTTTTATTATTTTTATATCATTTTCCAAACTTTTTATTTACATTTTTTACGCCTCTTGTCCTTATTTTCTGCCCAATTATTCCAAAATATTTAACCTTCTTTTTCTTTTATTTTTAATTTTTAACTATATTTTACCTTCAAGCTTTTTTATTTTTCTTTTCCTTGAAATTCGTAACTTTTCCATAAGTTTTTTTTCAAAATTTACAATTATTCAATTTGTTATGCTATTTTTAGTTGCCCATTGCTTTTTTTTTTTTATTGTTTTGTAAATTTAGGAAAAAAAAGACCCGGTTCACTCGCGCCACAAAACGACAGAACACGCATGAGATCCTCACAGCCACTTAAACTTAAAACACAACATACGATCACCAACGACCACATCTCAACCGTCCACGTGTCCTCCCCGATCCGCCTTCCCTCCCGTATTTAAACTCCATCACCTCCCTTCTCCTCCTCTGTGCTATTCACTGCGAAACTGAAAAGGATACATAACAAAACAAGTGTTTCAGATCTAACAGTCGAGAATGGCGGGCGCAGACAGCCGTGTTGTGATCGTGGGAGTAGACGATAGCGTCCACAGTTACCATGCTCTCGAGACAGCTCTTGACCTCTTCTTCGTGCCTTTCAAGTCAAATCCTCAGTTCAAGCTCGTCATCATCCACGCTCGTCCCACTGCTTCCTCTATCCTCGGCTTTGCCGGACCAGGTATCCGAATCTCTCAACCCAACCCGGTTCCACGCTTTTTTTTTTATCAAGAAACAATGAAACGTGCGTGTTTTATCGTCGATGAAACGACTTGATTCAAGATGGGTTTGCGAAAGTTTGTTCATTCTTGTTTAAAACGATGCGATTTTGAGAATGTTTACTATCTGGGTTTTGAAAAAGACCTACCTTTTAGCAAACTGGTGATCCAGATTCAGAGAAATGTAGTTTGGGGTGATGATGATATGTAGTTTGGGTTAAAGAAAGGTTATATCTTTTGTTGATGAAACAATTTGATCCGAGATGGGTTTTCCAAAGTTTCATCGTTGGGTTTGTTTAAACGATGATATTGGAAGATCGTTTTCCCGGTCTGGGAGTCAGGAGATGTAAGGGGAAGTGGATTTTGGTGTGAATGCAGGAGCTGTGGATGTAATGCCAATGGTGGAACAGGATCTGAAGAAAACTGCAGATTGGGTTCTGAAGAAGTGCAACGAAATCTGCTCCAACAAATCCGTAAGTGTTTTCCACGTTTGTGTGTTGTGTATTGACGCAGCCATGGGATAATGATGATGACGTATGTATATATGTACGTGTGTATGCATAATAATAGATCGAGATCACGGCCTCGGAGGTGACGGAAGGCGATCCCAGGAACATTATGGTCGATGCTTCCGAGAAACACCATGCTTCTGTCATTGTTTTGGGCAGCCATGGCTACGGTGCTGTTAAGAGGTACATTTTCTCCGCTCATGATCTCATCGTCTTGATCATTTGCATCCAAAACGCAATCGCTTCCGCTTCGAAATTAGCGATCACGATCTTAATCTGTTTCCTAACCTGTGGATGTTGCAGAGTTTTTCTGGGGAGTGTGAGTGATTACCTCGCTCATCACGCACATTGCTCTGTCATGATCGTCAAGAAGCACAAGACGCCAGCAGCGGCCGCAGCAGCTAAGAACTGAGGCTGAAGAGATTTGTTTAATGTCAAGAGAGATTCTCCATTGAAGAAAGTTTAAATATTTCTTATGCTATTACATAGTTACTGGAATGGAATAAGATCGAACCAGAAGATATTATACTTTATTTTCCGAGCAGAAAGTGCATCCACACAGATAATGTATTAAATGAGAAACAAAGAGATCAAATGAAGTAACAAGACCAGACTGAGATTCTCAATGAGATCAAACAATAGAACAAGCATAACAAAGAGAGTAGAGGGAGAAGCTGCCAACTCTATTGGTTGAGAACCTTATCTTTCTAGTTGGAGGTAATGGGTTCAACCCTCTAGAACATGAGTCTTCCCCTGAGTCTTTCAGTTTCTGCTGGTTTACCTGTTCCATGTCATTTGCATGCTATTGCGTGGGACCGGTGGGTTTACTCCGCATCCGAAAGCTCCGTTGCCAAAAAAAATAGAGTGTTACTATTAAAAAAATGGATGAAATATTATTGTTTTATCCCAAGACAGAGATTTCCAAACATTCATCTTTAGCACTTAAACCTCCTCAAGGCAATAGGCAAAGCCGCAAAGTACAATAATGCCGGGTTTGTCGCACTGTCCTTGTAATATGCAAACACCAAGCTGCTGTCATTTGCCATGCTCTCTTCAACAAAGCTGGAAAAGAAGAACAGAGAAGAATAAAACGTCATTAATGTTGTGAAATGATTCGTAAGAAGAAGAATTGGGAGAAGAAAAGAGGTATTTTTACAGTTGGAGATCTTATAGTTTAGACAGCAAGAGCTTGGTTGCTCCTTCTGTGTTCTTCTTGAGCTTATCCTGTTGGTCGGAGTTCAACATGGACTTCAAAAGCTCGAGGTAATTGCTGACCTCTGCAATGAAACGCTTCTTGTTGAAAGGAGGCTCCTCATCGCTACCTTTGGCGGAAGGATTAGCTCCGATATCCACCTCAATTGCTCCTTGAGCAACCGGCTGATGAATGCAGTACCAATCCAAAAGATTCACATTACCAAACAGATTCCTGCAAATTCATGTCTTTAGAGGATAAAGCAACAGAAAAGAAAACAAAACCTTTCCCACTACCTCCCTAAGGGTTCCGCTCTCGATTTCCTTGCAAGGAAATGAGTCATACAGAAGCTCGTCACCTGAAAGCTATAGTGTTAAACACCATTATGAGAGTAGAAAAACTCAAACTTCGAAGCAATCTAAACCAAAAAGAGAAACGAGGATCGAAACCCTAGAATTCGCTCCAGGGAAACGAAAATTGAGTAAGCCCAACATAATCGACAGCAGCGGGAATCGGATTGGTAATGGACGAGCTTCCAACTTACAGAGACGTAATACCGACTAACTAAGCCAATTAAGCATACCATCAGAGAATGCAGCAACGCGAGACTTAAGAAAACTTGCGTGAATCTTACCGACACCAGAGGAAACGACCGGAAAAACATGCTTATAAAAGGCAAATCCATGGATGATCCGATAACGAATTGAATCGAAACTTGGAATAACAGACATGAACGTGAAAATGACGGAGCATTGCCGGTGAGGAGATCCTGGTAAGCCTACATTGTTGCTTACTCTCACTCTCTCTCTCTCTCTGCGTCCGATCGACAAAAGGATAGAACTCAAGAACAGTAACAGGAAGCGAGAGAGAGAAATTCCATAGAGATGGGGGCGTGCAATCGTGCGGCGACGCGAGATTTATATAGTGCGAAGGGTTATGTAAAATTACCAAAAGGACCTACTTACTTGGTAAAACTACAGATTTGCCATTTACCTAGCCAGACAAAAAATATTATTTTACTCGCTTTGGTCAACGAGGCGACGAACATGAAAGAAAAGCCCAGAGCCCACATATCCAGTTATTAAATTATTTAAAAATATTTTAACATAAATAATTTAGAAAATTATAGAAATCGGCTTTTTTTATTTATTTATTTCATTTACTTTCCAATTTAAAATTTTATATATTAAGTAGTTATGTATTTATCAGATGGAAACCGCTTCCGTGCTATTTTGTTAAATCCTTCTTCTTCTTCGTTTATTCCTTGTTTGTTCGTTCGTCCGTCCTCCGCAACAACTCTCTTCTCCACGAAGAAGCGAGAGGAATCAAAACCTCATACTCCGTTCCTGATCGGATTTTCCTTCCCTCTTCTATGGCTGACATCTTCCTCTGAATCCGGTGCGTTCACAGTCTCTTCCCATCTAACGCATTTCTTCAGCAAAAATTCACTGTTCTTTGGTGATCTGCACTTTACAGGGAACTCGATTGAGCTGTGATTATTTGGTTTCCTTATTGCTTTCTCGTAGATATATCCTGATTCGATTCGGTATTTGATGGGTTAATATCTCGTTTTATTAGTAGATTTCGTGGAGGATGAGGGATTGAATTGTAGAAGGCGAAATTACTGAACTAGGGATTCGAAGAATTATGGATGGTAATAAGGATGAAGCCTTAAGGTGTCTGGGAATCGCTGAAGACGCCGTTGCCTCTGGTGATAAGGGACGAGCCTTGAAATTTATCCACTTGGCTAAGCGGCTTTATCCGAGTTTATCTGCTGATGATCTTGTTGCTGCCTGTAACAAGCTTGATCCTGTTTCAATTAACTCCTCTCTTGAGGGAATTCCAGAAAGCGTTGGTGGTGATAAGCTTGAGCCCGATAAGGTTGACGAGAAAAGCGAAAATGCTGAGTTGATTAGGCGGTTAAGAAGGAGCGATGACTACTACGCGATTTTGGGCGTGAAGAAGAGTTGTTCCGATGAGGAGATTAGAAAAGCTTATAGGAAATTGTCGTTGAAAGTTCACCCCGATAAGAACAAGGCCCCAGGTTCAGAGGAAGCGTTTAAGAAAGTGTCGAGGGCGTTCACATGTTTGAGTGATGTTAACTCGAGGAAGCAGTATGATCAGGTCGGTCTTGTCGATGAGTTTGATCATATCAAGAGGCGATACCGTAGGCCGAGGAGGAGAAGGAAGAATACTCAAACTGATTTCTTCGCAGATGATTTCGACCCTGATGAGATATTCCGGGAATTTTTTGGTCAAGGAGACACATTCCGTGCTTCTCATGGTTATAGAAATAGACGAACACGTCATCAACCCCCGCAAGAGGAGGACGGACCTAGTTTCTTGACACTTCTTCAGATATTACCGTTCTTGTTGCTTTTCTTGCTGGCTTATCTACCTTTCTCTGAGCCCGACTACGCTCTGCACAAGAACCAGTCTTACCAGATACCGAAGACAACCCAAAATCATGGGATTGATTTTTACGTCAGATCATCTGCCTTTGATGAGAAGTTCCCTCTCGGTAGCTCGGCTCGATTCAACATCGAGGATAGCGTGATTAAGGACTACAGGAACTTTCTTTTCCACTCGTGTCGGGTAGAACTCCAGAAACGGCGGTGGAACAAGAAGTTGCCAACCCCTCACTGCAATGAATTACAAGGTATGGGGTTTGTTGAAAGGTAATTGCTTGCTTCCTCCGCCTCTTTTGCTGAAACTCTATACCGATATGTGTATATATGTATATTCGTATAAACCCAGTACATGTTGAAGCATAACGTAAAATATGTGGAAAGCAAGATTTTCATCTCTCATATCTATTGCAAGATTTTCAACGTTCAACACATGTTAGCCACATATGTTGCATTTTTTGTTTTTGGTTCTCATACGATTTCAAGGTCCATTCTTAGTGACCATTGATGTAAATCTTCGATTCAAACAGGGTATAAGGCTGAAAAAGAAGCCTAGAACTCATGTTACCTCGACCAAATCCTTAACCCGATATGAGCTCAGAGTCTCAGATTATGCTGCAGCGTTGGAGAATTCAGATCGGGTTCTGATCAGCGTTTTTTTTTTCCGGGGCGGACTGGAAGGAAGACGGGTTCTCACCGAGGCCAAGAAATCAGGCCGTAGACGAGCGGTGCGTAAAGCTTTTGTATGACAATCAAATCTAGTCTTCTTCATTCGTACGGTTTTGGAGATCATAACAAAGGGTATTGAGAACAAAACCACCTCTTGTTACACACACATATTACAATCCCATTGTATGGTGCGTTGTTTTTGTAATGTGCATCGTCTCATAAAGCATACATTTCCTCCATTGGGATTTAACTCCAATGGAGGATCCGATGTAATACAAGAAAAAGGGCGGAAGTTGATTCAACAAGAAATCTTCTTTGCATGGGCAATATATAATTAACGGTTGCCGTTTGGTCCTTGGCCAATTTTATATAGTTTACAATATTCGATCCGTAAAGATGACATAAAGTACTATTAAAGTTATTTATTTTCTGATTCTCAAAATTTTTTTACTATCATTCTTATATTGAACTCTGATTTATTTTTTGCAAAAGAAAATTTAGAGTCAATCAATTTTGTTTTGTCAAGTTCTAGTTGTTTGGTGAATAAAAGTTACTCCCTTATATAGATGGAATCCCCCAAATCTAGTGGTTAGTAACAATTCCATTCTACTAAAAGATTGTGGGTTTGAAATCGAGATATGGAAATTTTCCTTGAGTCGGTCAGCTTTATGAGGTTGGTTTAACTACTCTGCGTGGTTTGCCGGCTACTACGCTATATATATATATATAGAAAATGTGTTTACATAATGTTACAAAATTCGCATTATTGGGAGACAGAATCAAAACAAAAATATATCACGTGATCACGTGGAGTGAGCCCGGAACCCCACTCGAATCATCAATTTCACTGTAATATCTTTTTAGTTTTATTCTGGCCGTGGGAGAAAATATATATCTCTAACATGCATTGACCTTGGATACATTGGTTCTATTTTATAATGTATAATTTTACTCAAATCAAAATTTATGTAAAGTCGAATTATTGATTTTTTAAAATCGATATTTTATAATTAGTTAATCAAATATAAAATATTAAAATGGTAGAAAATATTTTTTAAATAAAAATCGAATATAGATTAAAATAGTAAATAAAAATACAAATTAATATAAAAATTGAATATTCATATATATATATATATATAATATTTTTTAATAACATTGGATTAAAAACTGAACCAAATAGTAATTACTCCGTTTATAAGATTGTCTCTATTTTGCAGTTATATTTTTTAATGTTCAATTTTTAAACCGGTTTAAAAGACAGGAAAAAACTATTTCCCTCCAAGTTTTATTTTTAATTGAGAATTGAGAAAACAATACATAAAAAAATTTAAATAGTCTTATGACGTAAAATATGAAAATTGATAATTCAAATGACCTTTAACAAAAAAAAAAGGATAATTCAAATGACAAATCTGTCCAAACAAAAATGTGATTAAATACGTTTATGAGATTCTACGTCACTCCTCCCCCGTCCGGCGACTTTGACTCCTTCGAGTGTGCGAATCAATGGACGAATGAAATATCGTAATTTAAACCGATTCCAAACAATATAGAATGGTTGAAACTAGATCTGAAGCGGCGGCGTATCAATCGCCGGAATCCTCGTCACCGCCGAAGATGGAGACGCGGTTGTAGAGCAAGAACAGGATCAGAACGAGGAACAGAGCGATGCCGACCGGAGATCCGCTGACTCGATGGATGGAATCGGGTTGTCCGGTGGAGAAGATGGAGGAGACGAAGGAGCCACGGTCGGAGGAGAGGAACTGGATCGTGAGGAGGAGGATGATCGGAAGCAGGAGGAGCCCAACGGGGCTCAGGAGCTCTGCGATCGCCTCCGTAACCAAGGAAGAATGGGACCAACACCACCATTCCGACGACCACCGCGAGTATTATCCCGTGCGGCGGAGCTCCGCCACCGCCACCATTACGCTCTTGGAACATTGTTTGGAATTTGAATCTCGCCGGAGAGAGAGTTCCAAGAAGTTTTTTGAACTTTAACAAAAATATAAAATATTTTTTTCTCCTTAAGATAACGCGGATATAATTTATTTAGTAAATCGCATTGTGAAATCATAATTTAGTAAATAAATTGTACGTATTCGATAATTCAGTAGAAATAAAAATTAAATAAAACCTTTCTTTATAACTACACTTAGTAATTAAAAAAAAAAGCATAACAAGTTTAAAATAATTTATTACTGGAAAAAGAATGCCATTTACAAGAATGGTTGAAAACAAGAATCCAATTTCACCAAAATTTAATAAAAATAAAATAAAAAACTAAAATTCAACCTTCGCCTCACCGGCGTATAAACATCGCGTCGTCTCAGAGTTTGAACAGAGACTTGCGTGACGTTTTTCTTGTAACTTCAGCCTAGAAACGGCTCAATAACATATTTAGGCCCAACACGAAACAAGCCCAAGCCTATATACAATTTACCAAATTGGCCCTAACCTTACTTTTATAAGCTTGTAACGGTGGCAGTGTTTGTTGGGCTTTTATCAAAAATACCCCTATTATGCTACAAAGACTTCAAGGCATACCCCTGCAAAAATAAAAAAAAAAAGTTAGTTCAAAATATACCCTTATAATTATGTTATTCCCATAATACCCATTGGCGTGGGTCCCAATGACAGAAACAGAAGAGAGAGAAAACAGTTTTCGGTTCCCTATGAAAAAATTTAAATATTTTAAAATTTTTAAAACTCCCTCCTCCACAAAAAGTTAAATTTTTCGCGTGAATTTTAAAATTTTTTGGTGTGACCAGTGTGCCCAAGTGACCAGTGTGACTAGTGTGACCAGTGTGACCAAAACTAAAATTTGAACGGCGTGACCAGTGTGACCAGTGTGACCAAAACTAAATTTTGAACGGTGTGACCAGTATGACCAAAATTAAATTTTGAACGGTGTGACCAATGTGACTAGTGTAACTAGTGTGACCAATATGACTAATATGACTAGCGTGACCAAAACTAAATTTTGAACGGTGTGACCAGTGTGACCAGTGTGACCAATGTGACTAGTGTGACCAATGTGACTAGTGTGACCAGTGTGACCAAAACAAATTTTAAACGATGTGACCAGTATGACTAGTGTGACCAGTGTGACCAATGTGACTAGTGTGACCAGTGTGATCAAAATTAAATTTTAGACGGTGTAACCAATGTAACGTACCTTTGTCAATCTGTTCCATTATTGCTCCAAACATTTATTTGGCATTAAATATACGCTTCTTGCATTTCTTCGACAGATTTGCTATGCATCTATCTCATTTTCATGAAAAAAATACACGATTCACTCTAAAAATCATAAAACTCAAACCCAAAACACAAAGTTTATACATCGAATCAATCTCTTGTATTAATGAACTTACCTTCAGTTTTTGTCATTTGTTCTGTCTTAGACCGACTCAAGAAGAAGATATGAGGTCGTCGGTGAGGATATGCTCAACGAAATAACCATTTTTCGTTTGTTTTTCTATGTATAAAAATGAAATGAGAAGAGAGAAAATGAAAGAGTTGAGAGAAATATAAGAGTAGAGAGAGAAAGTTAAGAAAGAAATGAAGAGTTATCAAAGAATGAAAACGAGAGAGATGAATTCAAAATGAAGAGAGGAATATCACGTTACTTTTGTGAGAGAGTTAATTATGTCTTTTGTTCCTTTTATTTTTTTTTCCAAAATTTTAGGGTTTTGGAGGGTAGTCCGTGAAGTCTATGTAGCAAAGTAAGGGTATTTGTGATATATTGCCGTGTTTGTTCCCTGAATTTTGTAGACATGTGCTTTCAAATTAGTTTTTTTTAAAAAACATTTTAATGTTTTAACGTTTAAAATACTTTTAATACAGTAATTATTTTAGTTTCAAAATGATGTAACTTGTTGAAAGATCATTTTTTAGGGTTCGGTTCAAAAGCATAGTTTTACTTTATAGCTTAAGGATTCGATGCGTTAATTATTTGTTGTATAATGTCGAATGATTTACATTGATAGGCGAAAAGAACATATAAAATAGAGTCTGTTGCAGACGGAGACGGGACGGTGTTTTCCTTTTCTTTATCAAAACAGTTCGCATGCCTCTTTATACAGACGGAAACGCCGTTTCCTAAACGGCGCGGTGTCTCCAAGAGACTTGGATAAACAGCAGGAAGTTTCGATAGACCCAATATAGATACGAGTACGACGCCTTTTCGATAGACCCAATTTATTAGGCATGTTTGGACGTAAAGAACGCAAAGAAGATAAACTCGTGCAGGGAGTCAACGGGGCGGTTTGACCAAATCTCAAAAACTAAATGATTCGATCCAACGCATTATTCTTTTATAATATGATTGAGTGTGACGGTCCAACAAAATCATTTAATGTTGGATACGGATAAAAATTTATCGATCATGCATTAAATCCACCAAGAAAAGCAGTTCCCATCTGCCGTATTTTATGAACAAACTATATTTACGAAAATAAAGTACATAAATGCGGGACAAAACTTATTCTCAATCCAAATTCGAGTTTTTATTTGGATAGAGATATTCACCGGACTTCTCTCGAATCTTTTAAGAATTATAGTTGGGCCAAATACTATACGAATTTGCGGATTATAAAAAAAATATATAAATGGATTTGGTATCTCAATCGGTCTCATACTATTCATCGTAGTTGTTTTTTTGTTTATAATTTTCTCTATTTGTAATTTTGGAATACATATATATGTGTGACCAAATTTCCAAGATAATTTCAATTTAATGTGATATTTCATGAATTTTCATTTGTTTTGTGTTCGTTTTATGTGATTATAATATTCTTATGCTTAATCTTATTGTGAATTTTCAGATATCTTATTTTTTCTGATATTTTGAGATATATTCCGCAATTTTTTGGATTGACCAACCTACTTTCAATCATTAAATATCACCACCTAACTAAAATTTGTGTGCGTATTTTTTTTTTGTGTTAAAAATAGATAGCTAGGTGGGATTTTGGTGACCCTTGTTGTTATGGTTGGTTACTAGGGTGTCAAACGAGTCAGCTCGGCTCGTTCGGCTCGTATCGTTTTGGGCTCAGTTCGTTAGACTCGTTTTCTAACGAGTCAGAAAAACTTCGGCTCAGATCGCTCGCCAGTTTTTCGATCTGAACGAGCCACTCGTTGAGCCAGAGATATATAATATTTTTTATTTATATTTATTCTAAATTTAACTATAAATTTAAATAAATACATAAAAAATTAATCCAATATCATTTAATATTTTCAATTATCACCATCATAATAATTAGGATATTTATAATATCATATGAATAATATAAAAAAAAGGAATATAAAATTATATTAGAGTTTTTTTATATAAATTTAATTTATTTTAAAAAAAAGTCAGCTCGTTGAGCAGCTCGCCACCTCGTCGAGCCAGACTCATTGAACACTGGCTCGTTAGGCTCGTTTTTAAATGAATTGAAAAAAATCACGGCTCAGCTTCTCGTATCGATAAATTAGAAGAGATGTCAACCGGCAACCGTATCTGGAGTCGCTCGCTTTCTGGCGAGCCACGAGCCC